TTCAGCATCAACACTAGGCCTAACCGTATCCCTAGCCTCAGCCCCAAACTTAACCCTAACCCTCGCCCTAGACTGAGCCCCACCCCATACCTCCCGCTTGCCTCAGCCGCAACCCTAAACCTAACCCTAACCCTAACCCTAGCATCAGCCCCAAACTTAAACCTAACCTTGTCCTCAGCCCTAACGCTAATCCTCACTCTAAGCCTATCCTCAGCACCATCATTTTAGGCCTTACCCTTTATTTCAAAACCCCCTTTCCCCTCTTCCATTTCTGATGAAGGGTCTAGGCCTGAAACGTCAGCCTTCCTGCTCCTATGATGCTGCTTGGCCTGCTGTGTTCATCCAGCTCTACACCTTGTTATCTCAGATTGTCCAGCATCTGCAGTTCCTACTATCACAGAAAGTATTGAGGTGTGTCTCTGTGTTCTGCCTTTGCAGTACCTCTTACTATTACTAAAAGCACCTTAAAGCCCATAAGAATCACTATGTTTCTGCACTTCTCTGGCACAACTGAAGCTCAATCTCCTCTCCATAGACTCTGTTAGATGGGAAGACTGTTGTCTGCTGGTCACATCATTGAATAGTAACTGAAGCCCAGGATAATCTTACATAGAACATAGAACAATACAGGACAAGTACAGGCCCTTCAGTCTGCCAAGTCTGTGTGGGAATCTGGGATCATTAGTCCATATTTTAGGAAGGAAATTGGTAGAGTTAAAATGGAGACCATGAAACTATCGTCATTTGTTACAAAAAGCAATCTGCTTTATTCATGACCTTAAGTGAAAGTAAATTATTATCCTTTCATGGTCAGGTCTCTGTGTGATTGCAGATGCATAGAAATGTGTTTTACTCTTTACTGACGTGTGGAACAGCTGAGCAAATCACTCAGTTCAAGACGAAGTCAAATGTGCATATAATGCTGGCTTTAACAGAGATGACCACATCACATGAAAGAATAACAAAAATGAAAATAGTCCCCTTCCTCTTGCCTGTTCCCCACATTCCTTAAAATCATTTCCAAGAGGTATGTGTCAAATCCCTATTTCAGGTGAATTTCTTTCCCTCTGTGTCTCTCCCCTGAGCATGGTGTTCATCATTACAAAAACCATCGGCTGGCTTCTTTGACGCTGAGACACAGAAAATGTTGCAGGAAACATTTAAATTCTAGGTCAGTTGGGCTTTGCAGAGACATAATAGCTCAAGGTTTTTGAGAAGATTTGTAGCTCGAGTTGTTAATGTGGCTGTTGACTTGCTCGCCGAGCTGGTAACCTTTTTTGCAGACATTTCATTGCCATACTAGATAACATCATCAGAGTGTCTCCGCACTGATGTTACCTAGTATGGTGATGAAACATCTGCAAGCAAATTAACCAGCTCGGCGAGCAAATCAACAACCACATAATGGCTTTTTAACCCGCAAAAAAATAGAGACTAGGAAAGTGAGGGGAAAGGAGTATTGTGATCAGCATTGAGTCTTGTTGAGGCAGTATTTGAGGTATTGTGTACAGATTTGGTCTTGTTTTAATGGAATGACCTCCTCGCCACAGAGAAAATCCTAAGGAGTTTCACCAGATTAATCCTTGGGATGACAGCACCATAAGGAGAGAATGAATAAACTGAGCGTTTGATCTGTAGCACTGAGAGAATAAGAGTCATTGTTTGTAATTCTGAAGTTTCAATACAATCACTCATTACGTCTGTAAAAGACACAGATAGGGTGATAAATTCCAGGTTTTTCCAAGAATATGTGATGCCTGATAGTTACCATGCCTCTACAGATTGTTGATTGAGAGAGGCACAAGGTCTCAATGAAGTCTCACCATATTAATGTACATTTGGTGAGCGACCCTACGCTGAATGTCATCTTGTTCACAATCTTGATAGCAGCCTTCATTCTGAAACAAGTAGCCATTCCCATCAGCTTCTGACTTCCATAGCGAACACAAGTCCATCTTCTCAGAGATGAAAGATGCTTCCTTGAGACTTGGCACAAACATTGGTCTTCCCTCCCCACTGCTTTAAAACCATGTTAAAGTAACTTGCATGTACCACGAGCAATGGTGCCATGAGAAGCAAGCTGGATCAGACTATCTGTGTGGCCTCTGTTCCATTTGTTTATCATCTTGGAGCATCAGTGAGCTCCTCTGTAAGGAGCTCCTCCTTTGTAAGTAGATCAAGGAGCTGAATGGCCTCCTCTGAACATGTGTAAGTGGATCAAGGGGCTGAATGGCTTCATCCTGGTCCCATGGAACAGGCTCAAGTGCTTAATTAGGCTACCCCTGTTCCTGTTTAATGGCTCAATATGCTGATTAGACATCTTCTGTTCCTATGTAATAGACAGGAGGGACTGAACAGTCTAACCCTCTTCTTGTTATATAGTATTGATGGGCTGAACAGCTTTCTAATATTCTGCAACCAGAGTGAGTTTTTTTTATTAGTTACTCATTGACATTGCTGGCTGGGCCAGCATTTATTGCCTGCACCTAGTTGCCCGTGAGAAGGTGGGGGTGAGCTGCCTTCTTAAACTGTCGCAGTCCACCTGCTGTAGGTTGACCCACAAAGCCATGAGGGAGGAAATTCCAGGATTGGAACCGAGTGACAGTGAAGATACTACGATATATTTCCAAGTCAGGATGGTGAGTAACATAGGCTGTTTCAGGACATGAGGGGTGACAAATTGCTCTGAATATTGTCCTGAGGGGAAAGACATTGATGAAACAGCTGAAGATGGTTGTGTCAAGGATGCTATCCTGAGAATTTCCTGCAGAAATGCCCTGGATCTGACATGACTGATGTCCACTAACCATAAACATCCTCCTTTATGCTATGAATGGTTCTGACAAGGAGCAAGCTTACAACAGATTCCCATTAAGTTTCAATTTTATTTGGGCTTCTTGATGCCACTCTCAGTCAAATACTGCCTTGATATCAGTCACTCTTACCAGACCCTCGTGTTAACGTCTCTTGTTCATGTGAATAGGTTATGTTGTATGTGTGGAGAATACTTTCTTCTCACAGACGGTAGTGAAATGTGAGGAATTCTCAATTCCAGATAGTTTAAGGAGCTAGATCACTGGAAGTATTTAAAGAGGAGGTAGATGGGTTTTTGACCTGTCGGAGAGTGGAGAGAGATAAAGAATTGGATATGAAAGAGGAGTTGAGAGACCGGTCAGCCATGATCTTTTAAGGTTAGCACTGCTGCCTCAAAGCACCAGGGACTTGGGTTTGAGTCCAGCCTTGGGTGACTGTGTGGATTTTGCACATTCTCCCCATGTCCGCGTGGGTTTCCTTCCACAGTCCAAAGATGTATAGGTTCGTTGGGTTGGCCATGGTAAATATGGGGTTACAGGGATAGGGGCTGGGTCTGGATGGGATGCTCTTCCGAGGGTCAGTGCAGACTCAATGGGCTGAATAGCCCCTTTTTGCACTGTGGGGATTCTATGATTTTAATTTTATTGGTTGGCAAAGCAGGCTTGAAGGGCTGCATGACCTATGCCAGTCTCTTATATTCTCATATTCTGTTATTGGAATGTTAGTGGTTGTTATTTTCCTGGACGAACTTTCTGGAATGTTGAAGTCAGGGAGACTAGAGGGGTTTGTGGGCCATCTCTGGCTGAGTTGGGAGGTGCTATATTAACTGTGAATGTGGGTCTACAACATGAACAAGAGATAAAGCACAAGTTGCAGAAAGGGGAAGCTCTGTGAAGAGAGATGAAGGGCCTCTTTCGTTCCCAGCCTGGGTTTTCCAAGACCATTTTCCAAACCACACCAAACCGGGTGTTGCTCTGCACCAGGTACTAGGAGCAAGTAGCCTCCAACTGCTCCTGTGTAGCAGATTTGAAGGGCTGAATGGAACATGCAAATATTGGACTTAGGAGCAGGAATTGGTCATTAGACAATTTGACCCTAAGGCAGTAAGATTGTGACTGATCTGGTCATGGTCTCAGTCGCACCTTCCTGTCTGTACCCCATTATCCTTGACTCACTTGCCTGTCAACTATCTCACTAACTCAGGCACCACAAATTGCTGCAGAAGAGAATTCTCACTGGAATGAGCCTTTGAGAACTTCTCATCCTTGTTCCAACTGGGATTGGAATGTTTCCTTTTCTAGTCCTACTCCTCCACTGGTTACAACTTTTAAATGTAGGAGCAAATTACTGCAGATGCTGGAATCTGTACTGAAAACAACAAATGCTGGAGATCACAGTGGGTCAGGCAGCATCCATGGACAGAGAGCAAGCTGACATTTTGAATCTAGATTACACTTTATCAGAGTTGACGTAAAATGTGGAGCCTTTATGATATAGTTGGGAGAGTGGAAGATTGAGTGTACAGTACTGGGGGAGAAAGGATGTTGATAGTTCAGATTAAGTGATCGGAATGTAAGAATGGCAGAACAATGGTGTGTCTAACTGCCAGATCTGAAAGAACAGACAGGGGAGAGACGACATGGTGACAGAAAATGTAGCAAGTAAAGCTAAAAGTAAAGGGAGTAATGGGAGTTGGTTCACAATTGGAAGGTGTTGAACACAATGTTAAGTCCAGAAGGCTATAAAGTGCCTAGTCTGAAGATGAGATGTTGTTCCTTCGGTTTGCACTGTGATTCACTGGAGCACTGCAGCATGTTGAGGACAGACAAGTGGGCATGCGAGCAGGGCATTGTGTTAAAATAATCGGCTCCAGGAAGGCCAGGGTCATGCCTGCACACAGATTGCAGGTGTTCTACAAAGCGGTCACCCATTCTGAGTTTGGTTTCTCCAATGTAGAGCAGGCCACATTGGGTACAGCAAATACAATACACAAGATTGGAGGAGGTACAGGTGAAACGCTGCTTCACCTGGAAAGACTGTTTAAGCCCTTGGACGGCTGAGCGAGACAGGAGGTGAAGGGGCAGGCCTAAAACGTTAATCCTTCATAATATCAGCCCTTCATCACAGAAATGAGTGAAGTGAAACATCTTTGAAAAGCTTCTAAAGCAATTGCATTTTTTTTTCAGTTTAGGAGATCAAACCTGCACACAGTGCATCAGATGTGGTTTCAGCAAAACCCTGTACAGATGCAGTAAAACATCCCTATGATGATAGCCGATACCCTTTGCAAGAAACAGCATCATTCCATTTACTTTCCTAATCAGTTTCTGTATCTGAAAATTAACTTTATGTGATTCATACACCAGGACACACAAATCCCTGTGTACCACTAAGTTCTGCAATCACACTCCATTTAAACAATTTACTGTTGTTTTATCTTTGCTGCTGAAATACAAACTTCTCATAACCCACATTATACTGTTTCTGCTGAATGTTTATTCACTAACTTCCCTGTCTATTGCAGTTGACAACTTATTGAATGACTATCTTGGGGCATTAGTTAATCGAATTTCATTCCCCTCATCCAATTATTGATGTAGATTGTGAATAGTTGATGACTCTACACTGATCCCTGAGGCACTCCACCAGTTATAGCTTTCCAACCTGAAATTTAACATATCTCTGCTCTTTATTTCCTGTTAGCTAATCAGGGCTCCCTGTTCCTGTGTATCAGCTTCAAAGTGTTGAAGAGCATTGTCCTGTGCTGTACAATGTACTTTAACGGCTGAATGACTTAATCCTATTTCTGTGTAATTCTTTATAGGGCTGACTGGTCTACTTATGGGATCTTCCTGTGCTATGTAACAGTCTTGTGGGTTTGAGTGAGACAACAGCACATGCATTAGAAGCAGCCGTTGGCCATTTGGACCCTCGAGTCTGCTGCACCATCCAGAAAGGTCGTGGTTGATCTGATTGCGGTTGAACTCCCCTTTTCCTGTCTGGTCCCAATAAACATTGACTCCCTTATCCATCAACGACCCATCAAGCTCAGCCTTGAATATCTTCAATAACCCAGTGTTCGCTGCTCCCGGAAGATGTCAGAACCACAGTTAGCACATCCTCCAGGAGACAGGAACATCCTTACCTCAATCTCAAACTTTATTTTTAAAGTGTGCTGACCTCACACCAAATCACCTCCTCTTTTGAGACACAAGGGTACAACAATTATGTAAAGACATAAACCGTTCAGCTCCTCAAATCTGTCCCACTTATAAGTTGGGTGTCTATTCAATCGAATACCTGCCAAACCTAGCCTGTGTTGTTGTCTGGGGGAAAATGTTCCCACATACCCAAAGGCCGTAAGACATAAGTGAAGAATTAGGCCATTTGGCCCCTTGAGACTGCTCCACCACCCAATCATGTCTGCTGGGTTGCTCAACCCCACTCTCCTGTCTTCTCTCCATAATCTTTGACCTGCTTAGTTATCAAGAAATTATTTAACTGTCTTAAAGACAGTGTGGGTCTGTACTTGATGGAGTTCAAAAGGATGGGTGGAGGGGGGTCTTATTCAAATTTACAGGATACTGAGAGGCCTGGATAGAGTGGAAATAGAGAAGGTGTTTCCGATGAAGGCAAGCATGCCAAAGACTTTCTTTATCACTCTGTCTACCCGTAATGCCACTTTCAAGGAACTCATACCAACACCCCTAGGTGCAGGCACATAGTTCTTCCATCAGATACACGGTCTCTGATATGACACACAGTTCCTGTTCAAGGAGTTGTCCAACCCTTGGGTCTTCTTCCAGGAATTGCCTGTCTTTTACTTGGATCTGATCACAATCTGGGACACAGTCAGCTCTTGCTGGAGATCTCCCCTTCTAGGCAGGGAGCCACTGCTCAGGAACAGGTTCCTCCATCAGCGCGGTCTCTGCTGGCTAAGGGAGGAGAGAGCTTGGAACGCTGGGATGACCAGAGTTGGGGATATGCTGGACGGTAGAGAAGTGGGCTGGATAGCGCCACCACAGTTGGGTGAGAGGGTGTCGGTCAGCATCTGGTTCACCACCTCAGCTACCAACCACCTCAAGGAAATCCTCCCAGTGTCCTTTCGAATGACACGGAGACATTATCTGTATGGGATGATGCTGCACACTCTCCACTGCTACACCTTCACCCGCCACCTAGACGTTTTGCCCCTCTGGTAGTGGAAATCCTTCTACAAAGGGATCCTCCCTTTTCCCATCAGGGATCTGGGGTGGAGAGTGTTGCACACAGCTTTCCAGTAGAGTGAAGGTTTTCATCTCATTTTCCAAATAGGCACACTGATAATGGATACCAGAACAACATCTGGAAGAAAAATATTTTTATACAAATCTAATTGGATCCTTTTAGAAGCCTTTGACAACTGCACCCTAGAGGATGAACAGATAACATTTTGAAGGGTTACATGTTTGAAATGTGTTGAAAGTGACAAGATATTGACATGAGATCAGGTTGATTAATTGATTGATTGATTTCATGGGTACCAAAATACAGTGAAAGCTTTGTTTAGCAGCAGTACAGATAGATCACAGCAAGCAAAGGATGTACAGATTAAAAAGACTTAGAGGCAAATAGGTTACATTGCAGGTTGCATTATTTGAGGCTAGAGTCCTTTCATCAGTCTGATAATGGCTGGAAAGAAGCTGTTCCTGAACCTGCTCATGTATGCGTTCAGGCATTTGTATGTTCTGCCTGATGGAAGAGGTTGTAGGAGGTCATTACCAAGGTGTGATAGGTCTTTGATGTTGGCCGCCTTTCCGCGGCAGCAAGCCATGTAAGTAGAGTCCATGGATGGAAGGTTGGCTTCTGTGATGGCCTGGGCTGTGCACACCACCTTCTGTAGTTTCTTACAATCCTGGGCAGAGCAGTTGCCACAACAGGCTGTTATGCACCTGGACAATTTGCTTTCAATGGTGCATCTCTAGAAATTGGTGAAGGATGTTATGGATGCCTGAGGAAGAAGAGGCATTGTTGTGCCTTCTTGACTGTAGCATTTATATGAGCAGTCCAGGTCTGGTCGTCGAAACTTGATGCTCTTCAGTCTCTCAACCTCAGTTCCGTTGATGTAGATGGAGGCGTGTTCTCCTCCTGCCTTACTAAAGTTAGCGATCAGTTCTTTAATTTTGCTGATGTTGAGAGACAGATTGTTTTCATTGCACCACGTCACAAAGCCCTCTATCTCCCTTCTGTATTTCAACTTGTCGTTGTTAGATATCCATCCCAGTATGGTGGTGTCATTAGCGAACTTGTAGATGGCATTCATTCGGAATTTGGCAACACAGTCATAGGTGTACAAGGAGTGCAGTAGGGGGCTGAGGACACATCCTTGAGGCGCTCCAGTGTTGAGTGTTATTGTGGAGGATGTGCAGTTACCTAGCCTCACTGATTGCAGCCTATGGGTCAGAAAGCTGAGGATTCAGTTGCAGAGGGTGGAGCCGAGACCAAGGTGACACAGTTTTCAGCTCAATCTGGAGGGGGTAATGGTGTTGAAGGCGGAACTGTAGTCAACGAGCAGGAGTCTGACATAGGCGTCTTTTTTGTCCAGATGTTCTGGGGATGAGTGCAGGGCTAGGGCTATGGCATCCTCTGTGGATCTGTTCAATTTAGATCAATTTAGATACCTTCAGTATAACCTGGGAATGGGGATGACATCTCCATTATTCACGTTTCTATTTTTCATTATCCCTGTCATTTACTATTTTACAGAATAAAGCCATGACTGAGAATTAGCTGAATTGCACTGCCTTTTTCTTATTTGTCTTACTCAGCTTTAGTTGGTAATTTTATTCATAGCATAAAAATGGGCATTTGGCTCAATGGTCCATGCCAGAGTTAATGCTCCACATAAGGCTCCTCCCATCCTTTTCTCTTGAACCCCATCAATGCAGCCATCAATTCCTTTCTCCCTTGTGCTTATCCATGTATTTTTCCTCTAATACAGCTGTGCTATTTTCTCAATTATTCCTTGGGGTGGAGAGTTCTTCTATTGTTCCTCTATTCTAAAGTACTATTTTCTTAGGATTCAAAGACAAAGTTTGATACTAATACTAAATCTGAAAACAACAAATGGTTATACTCTACTAACATAGATGTTTTACCAGTAATAAGTTAAAACTAAACTACATAAATAATTGTTTTGAGATCAGTGTTATATGTAAGTGGGCTTTCAACTAAACAGGGAGATTTGGGATTGAAATAACTCCACAGAGGACAGTATCCTGAGACCAAGTCAACCTTTATTTGCATGCATAGTACTTGACACTGGTCTGGCTTCCTCAGAGGCAGCTCTCAGTGAACAGAACTTCTGACATTCCTGTTTATATCTGTCAGCCACAGCTCCCTAATGGACCAGGTTAACAGCTCCAATCAGGGAGCTCATATTTTATGAGGTCCACCTGGCTAATCCAGTTACAATCACTACATTCCTCCCCTCAAAGTCTGAGAACATAGGCCTGTGTGTTTTTTTTTTGTAGCGGAATCATAGCGTGCCAACACCTAAAGCAATGATAGCTGCTTGTTCACTTCCCTAAAGGCTATGTGTTGGCTCCATGTCCCTTTCCAAGGCTGCCTCGTTTTCAACAGGAAATGTAAGGGTGCCAGGATGGAGGCCAGGTTACGTATGTACTTTCTATAATAATTCACCAATCAAAGGAAAGTCCTAAGCTTTGGTACAGATGTGGGAGCCAGGCACGTTTGAGCACCCCCACTTTAACTTCCAACTGGCGTAACACAGTCCTGCAGACTCTGTAGCTCAAGTAGGTCACTTGGGATGCCTAGAACACACACTTTCCCTTCTAACGTGTACACTCACCTGGGAGAAACATCTAAGAACAATGTCCAAGTTCTCTAAGTACTCTTTATTGGTCTTCCAAGTTATTAGCACGTCATCCAGATAATTAGCAACCTGGGGTAGACCTTATAAAATGTTCTCAATCATCCGCTGAAAAGTGGCACAAGCTGATGATACCCCAAGTGACAGTCTCATATATTGGCACAAATTCTTATGTAGCATACACTTCTGAGAATCCTCATCTAATTGTAACTGCAGGTATGCATGGCTCATGTCCAGCTTCGTGAAGGACAGCACCCCTGCCAGCTATGTGAGGGATTGGGTATTTATCCAGCTGCAAGAAGTGGTTTACCGTTTGTTTAAAATCCCCACCAAGGTGAACCAACCCCTTGGGCTTCGCAATCGGTGTGACCTATTCAATCGGTTGATACCTATTCCATAATCTGTAC